TGACTGCAGGACTGTCGTTGTTGGTCATGTTGTTAAAGCAGGGGGGGTGCTCATGTGTTGACTGTTGTCAGTGACCCGGCAGAACCCGTCTGGGACCCGAGTCGACCCAGTTGTCGGGCTGCTCCTCCATCCTGTCTGTCTAGAGGAAAACGGCTCCTTCACAGTTTCCTGCAGGGTCTGAACGTGGGCCTGGGTGACGGCACAGGTAAGAGATCGGCCGGCTGTCTTCTGCTCTTCTCTAGTAAAATGTTTTAGAGACAACAAGTTGTGAGGCAGGAAGGAAAGATGTTCTCAGCCACAATATAAAAACTTTCATAACCCTTGACCGAACGTTCTCCAACAACCAAATGTTAGTATCCTCATGTATGCAGATGACACAGGTATTTACACTCAGCTAAAACATGTTCAAGCAACATTTATACTCTCAAGCACAGGGCTAGCTCTCTACGTCTCACTGAATCTTCTTGGTGAGTTCAGTTTTCCACGAGAGACTCGGGGTCAAGTCGCTGCTCCTCCACATTGAGGGGAGCTAGTTGAGGTGCTGGATAAACTTTACTGCCAGGCTGATGCCAGTTTAACATTTTGATTTGACAATGTGTTGGGGTTCGCTCTCAGCTACCAATACACCAAATTTCAGTTCAGTATCTCTAAAAATGGCAGAGTTATCATGTTTTTTCTCTTTTAGCTAAGGCGGCCATCTTGGATATTTAGTTTTCATTAGGAATGCATTACGACTCGCTCTCAGCTACAACCATACTACATTTTAGCTCAATATCTCAAAGAATGACCGAGTTATAGTCAGTTTTGAGTTTGCTGAGGTAGCTGTGGCAGCCATCTTGAAACAAAATGGCTCCAAACGTTAATCGGCTCTAGACATTTATCTGATGAATACTTTCTGTGAGTTTCAAACTTATCCAACAGTGAGTTCCTGTTTTCTTCAGGGACATCTAAGTCATGTGACTTGACAGCAGCAGTTAGTTAGAGGAGTGTTCTCCCATTCATTTTCTATGGGGAAATATGGCGTCACTGTTAGCAAAATACGTCTCCATGGTAACTACGATTGCCAGTAAAAGTAATGGCTCCCTTCTCGAGATAGAGCCGGTGGTTTTGATATAACGTTGTGGTTCGGGCCACATTAATGGTAAAATAAATAAAGGCTTATTGGGTGTAGAATAATAGGTGCCTTCCATGACAGTCCCCAATAAAACATACTCAAATAAAAGTAAAAGGATAGATTTAAACTGTTCCTTTAAAAAGTACTAATTACACACATCGTACTCCATTACTGTTGTAATTCATTACTTTCCACCTCTGGTAACTGTAGAAAATATTGCTCCAAATGTCTTAAGTGCCTGTTTCAAAGTGACTTTACTTGATTGTCGGCTCATTCTGAGTATAGTTACTTTTGTGTCTTTGATTTTCTTTGTCATTGATTCAAAAGTTTAGAAATACAATGAAAAGACTGTTCAAAATGCAGAAGTAATGTGATTACAAAAAGTTGTAACTCTGAGTTGGACCCACTGCTGAATGTAGAGATAATGTGGTAACGCTGTGAACGTATTGGAGCGCTGTGGTTTGTTTTCCAGATGCTCGACATGAGGTGGCGATGCAGCTGCTGAGCTCTGAGTGGGACTACGTGTGGACCCTGAACCAGCTGAAGGAGCAGTACAAGATGCCGGCTGCTCACCACACGACCGCCGAACCACCGTGAGCGCTTGTCCTCCAAGGATGAGGAGATACAAGAGATGGAGATCTGTGGCGGTTACAGCTGATTAATGTTGTTACGGCTGAAAAGCTTTAGTAAAATGTTGCATAACCCTCTGTGTTCACATGAGATTTTTTCAGGGAGGGGACACGGCCCCCTCCCCTATCCACTGCAGTGAGTTCAGTTTGGATGATCCGGGTACCAGCAGCCGGGAGCCTCGAACCAGTTGCCGCGTGGTTTACACCTTACGAGCGCGAGCAGACCCACCACACTACCAGCACCTTTCACACTCAGGACATTTCTCCGGGCGCATTTATC